CCTCCCAAGCTGATCCAAAGAAGTACAAAGGTTGTTATTTCTTCATATCTTATTTGGTTGGTGTTTAAATCGTTCTACAACTTGCAAGATGATCCTTGGTGGGTATAAAGTTGTTTATGTTATTCAAAATTATGAAGTCTTCCATTGCCTAAATCTTATGTTTTTGAAAATAATTTTAAATAAAACCCAACATCTAAGCCCTGAGATGAATGACAGATGTTGAAGGAAGGCTATATTTGAGAAGTAATGTCAACTGATCAAAACATAGTTTTCGAGTGAAACCATATTCAGGTAGTCGATAATGAAAGTCTTTAATGTGAAATGTGGTATGGTTTTAACATGTTTAAAAATATGGTGAATATGATGGTAAGTGGCCAATCGAATGAATGCATAAAGATTTAGGTGGGTGTTGGTGTGATAATAAAATGGTAGATTACAATAAGATTATTAGTGAGAGTTTGGTAGTTCAAAATAATAACAGTGGTAAGGGTGTATTAGTGTATTTATAAACTCTACTAATAGATATGTATTAAAAATAGTGTTAGAAAATGATAGGAAATTTCCATGTTAAATTGACAACAAGAAAACTAGCTTAATGATATTGCAGTCCGAAATTTAGGATGATTAATGGTCCGAAATCCGGAATAGCCCTCTGAAATGTTCAATTTCGGACTAAATGTTTTTTTCTCACAACCACTAAAACTTGATCATTTCAATTAAAGATTTCATTTATAATTGTTAATTTTGCCAATATCTATTCTTAATGCGCGATATCAAACCCAAGCTTTTAAATAAGAAAAAAAAGACAAAGTCAATGTTATTTTTAGGGAAATTGGGCTATCTAACCAAATTTTTAAGGAATTTTGAAGCAATTTTAAATAAGAAAAAGACAAAGTCAATGTTATTTTTAGGGAAATTGGGTTATCTAACCAAATGTTTAAGGAATTTTGAAGCAAATAACCACCATTTTTTTGACGAATTATCATCGTTTCCAAAACGATCCATTCCGAAGTGGAGTTATCCAGCTCAACCCATTTCGTATCGGGTTCTGGACAATATGGGAAGTACAAAAGGCATTCTGAAATAAATGTTGGAATATCTTCATATTTTGGATTTATTCGGAAAATAGGAAATGACATCTGATTCAGAGGAGTTGGAGGTTTTACGGCTAATTTCTTTACTCCACTATTTGTACTAGTTTCATTTTATAACTAACTGAAAAATAGAGTCTCGAATGCAAGGATATAGTCGAGAACGCAAAGGACAATTCTAAAGTGTTCTATTAATAGATAACAGGAACCTTAGGTAGGTAGTTATCTTGTACTAGTAAAGACCCAAAACATCAGAACACTAGTTAGGTTTACACAAACATGTGCCTTAGGTGATTCCGAAATGATTTTTGTATTTCGGGACACAAAGAACATATCCAGAATACGAAGAACAAGTCTGGAATATATAGAATGGTTTGTTCCGGAGCACCATAACCAGTCCAGAATTATCTTTAGTGTCCTATTAAAAATCAATTCGTCTTGTTTTTGCAGCATGACCTCATTTTTCATGTTTCACTTACATTGTCTTGTAAACCTGTCCTTGTTGTAGATATTCTTACTAACATCAAGAACTGACCACCATATGAGGTTATCTTCTGACATGCATGATTTGGTAGGTGGTTAAATATATTCTTGTCGAGGTAGAAGAGGATCCTTTGATATTTCATTACATATTTCGCAAAGAAGTTTTCTCACAGCCTCGAAGTGATTTAAAGGAAATGGTTTTTGAGATCGAAGAGTACGGGTTGACCTGAAAAGGGAATCATGCTTTGTCACCAAATTCCAATTTGGTGGTTTTCTTACAGCCTTGGTTTCAATCATGTCTTCCAATTACACGTGTTTCCTAAAGTTAACACAAGCGAGTTAGTAAAATTGGAACATGTAAATAATATATTTTAAACATCTTTTAGTGACTTATCAGATGAGGTTGTGGTTCATGTGTGTCTATTATATCAGTTGGAGAGGGGGTTTAATGGATGCTTGCCTAATCAACCTATGAAGAAAGAGTATTTGGGTTTGGTAACAAGTTTGATGAATTTAACATGTATCATATCTTTAATTTGTAGATATCATTAGTGATGGTTTTTATGTTCAGCTGGAGATCATATTTGGAAAGCTTCATCAACTTCTTCGTCCCGTTAAAGTTAAAAAACCAAAAGCTCAAAAATTGATATACAACCTAAGTGGGGTTTTATTTAATTTTAAGGTTAAATACATGATTATCCTTTAACATTTTTTTATAATATCCTGATACATGATTATGTTACATATGGATTATGGAGAATTTTCCAATAAGCATTTCTTTTGTACCTGACAACCGAATATGATCACCCGGGTCATTGGGTGGTCCAAGCTTACTTGGTTACAAAAGACACATTACGATGTGTTTGTTGTTGTTAAGCACGTATGATTATTTATACAAATTTTCAAATATAACCCCAATTTATCATGTTGTTAACAATTGATGGGAAATTATATTTTGAGGAGAATATGCTTATAGAGATTTTACAACCGATACCAGATGAGATTCGTGATGCCTAGTGGTCTAATATGTCTGCATGGATTGAAGGTGATGTTTTACCTAATACATAAGATCATAGTGTACCGTCTCTCACACCATCACCCGCCAGGTCACCTAATTATGAGCCTCGATAAAAATCAGGCCCAAGGAGATGCTGACAAAGGTTCATATCAATCAAACCCACTACCACTAGAAACTAGACAAGAAACAGATAAGGACATAATCATAATGTCATTGTATAATATCCATTTGTTTGGTATCGAGGTTGTGTTAGGGCTACATGTAGATCATATCATAGATGACCATGGTATATCTAGCAATAAGGGTACTAACCAGGATGATGGTACCTTACTTGGGTTATTTATTTAATAGTATGTATCCTATATTAGTGTAGGGTGATAAGGTTACCCCTAGACTTATTTTATCATAGATGATTGTAGTATGTCATCGAATGATTTTTGGACACATGTGTTTGAGGTACATATGAATTACATATGTGTTATTGCCTTTGTTGTACTGTTGACTATTTAATTATATTTAATCTTACCTTTTTGAAGCATACAACTGTTAATCTAGTAAAGCATCTTGTCACACAAAATGAGAGCCTATTAAGGGATGATGGACCGGATCGGATGCCTGCCATACATATATAGTCTACCTACGCATGCGTCCGAACAGCCACCAAAGATCATTGAGATTATTTAGAGAAGATTACGAAAAGCTACAGTAGGCACTTTGGTGTACATAACAAGTGACACATGTTTCAATATGGTTGAAGTCTCCATGGATAGAGATGAAACGAAAATATATTGCACGCGTACGCCCAACATCGGTAGAAAATTGTATAAACGATAACATTAACAATCTATATACTTTGCTATATTTTATAACCGATTTCTCATTTATAAATCGACGGTAGAGTTGCCAATGCATATATATGAGTACTTTGACTATAGTTGGTTGGATATGATGTAAGTTTTATATGTATGTTATCATGACATACTAAACATTTAGTTATGTTACTTACACTATTGTATACATGTCTTGATGGATCCCTTTAACTATCTTGGTTAAAGTATGATAGGTATACCTGTGTTTCAATTATATTACCTGAGTAACATTCACTTATCAGAAAATTTTATATGATGATTAGTTATTTCCAACCTTTTATGCAACTATACATCTCCTTTAATAAGCCAAATGGCCACTACTGATGCAATCCCATTTGCAATTTTCAAACTTACCTTTGTGAATGGCACAAACACATTACAATTGTCTAGAGATAAAATAAATTGTGGAGTTTTCTTATGTTGATTCCTAAAAAGGTTAACTAGTGAGCATAGAGAGTTGAACCAAGAGCTAAGCGAAAAAATATCGATGGCGATTTAGAAATATTCCATGGGGTATACGGACAAAAGTAAAGGCCAAATCATATTGAATGCGATTTAAATATATTCCATGAGGTACACGGGCAAAAGTAAGGGTCTATATGCACATTAAGTTATTGGTTACACATATATATAAGTTTGTGCGATTATTAGTTTTTGTAGTAGATTTTTTGTTTCATGGAATTTCATAATCATTTGGAAAATATGAGTTATTTTCACTAATAATCATATAAAGTTAGAAAAGACTAGCAAAGTGTAGTTAAACACTTAAATACATAAAATACATATATAAGTGATGATATTACAGATGACCAACCTTCATTTGAAATTAATATAAAATAAAAACATAAAAAAAGACACTCCAGAATGTTATTCCGGCATAACTAGTCTGGAATTCCAAAATTTACTTTGGAATGATGTGTTCCGGAAAATATTGTCATTTTACCAGAAAAAAAGATATTTTTAATAAAAGAAATATTTATATTAGTTAGATTAGTGAATCTCATTATTATTATTATTATTATTATTATTATTTTTATTTATTTATTTTTTATTTTTGTTAGTTTAACATTCAACGTTACTTTTTAAATATAATTTTTTAGTGTTTTTTTTTTAATTTTGAAACGACAAACTAGCTAACCTGTTTGTAAATATCATATATGTCTTTTAAAAGACCTGAATCAATGACCTCTCATTTGAGAGAGTCATACGTTACCGTTAGGCCAAATACCATTTTGGTAACTCGTGTATATGTTCTTAATAATAAACTTATAGTCACGAAATAATAATAACAATACTAACACATGACTACTTTTATATAAAAATACAACAAAAAAAATCCTTATTATGAAATTAACTTCTTGAACATTGTGGCTTATTTTTCCAACTAATCTATTTTTTTTTTCTTTTTTTAAATGAAAAAATATACATCATTATCAATATCAAAAACACGTGTGGATGCCATGTCATTTCTTGATTTACTTTTTTAAAATTTCGGGTAATCTTCGCTTTTGCTCCTTCTCTTATAAATAGTTCAATCATTTCGACCTCTCTTAGGCGAACTCGTAGCTAAGTGTCATTCATCTTCGTCATAACTAAATGATGGGAAGAAGTTCAGTTGGGTTTTTTGCATTCCTTCTACTCGTCTTCGTTTTTGCTATGTCAGGTGCTGAATCAAACATATTTTGCTCTCTTAGTTTTCCGATTAATTGCTTTTTTAACGGCATAACATTTATTAAGAATAGAGTGGTGCTATGATAAAGAAAAAACAGAAAGAGAACCTCCTTATATCTTTAATGTTTTTCTTAAAATTTACTATATTCCGTATTTTGTGATGGAAAATCTGCCACTCAAAAGCCTCGGTATCTATTCCCTCGCAAACCATGAAGTAATAAGTTTATAATAAATACAAGAGATTTTAATCAAGAACGACTGATTTCTTGCTTTCGGTTTTTCTCTTAGCCTCGTGATAAGAATTATTTAGTCATTTTCATGTCTTTTTACTTGCTTAGATTAAAAAAAGCTACATTGTTATACTTAAAATAGGGAAAAAAAATGTCATAGCGGTTTTGTCTTCGTTGTAAGGTGCATTATTATACTTAAAATAGGAAAAAAAATGCCATAGCGGTTTTGACTTCCATGTAAATAATATTACTCAGTTCTCCTTCCAAAAATGTAAAGGTTTTGCAAGGTAATAGTACTCGGCATAAGATAAACGACAGAAGAGTAACGAAACAACTTTAATGGTAAACGAAAACTTATTATATACCGGATTAATAGTAGATGAGTATTATACGTATTTTTCATTTCTTCTACTTAATATCTCAGCTAACTAAATTTCTGTTAACTAAAATCCATTTGAAATGGTGTGAATAGAAATCACGACTGTGAAGGCGAAAGTATGTGAAAAGCCAAGCAAGACCTGGTTTGGGACTTGCAAAGACACAGCCAAGTGCGACAAGCAATGCATAGAGTGGGAGGATGCAGAACATGGAGCTTGTCATCAACGCGAAGCGAAATATATGTGCTTTTGCTACTCCAAATGTGGTCCCAAGGCATCTCCTACTCCTCCCTCTACTGCTCCCCCTGGGAATGGGGCACCCACACCGAATCCTCCAGGACCTCCTGGAGGCGGGCAACCACCTCCGGCGGAAGGGGGACAGCCACCTCCGACGGAAGGGGGACAGCCACCTCCGGCGGAAGGGGGACAGCCACCTCCGGCGGAAGGCGGACAGCCACCTCCGGCGGAAGGTGGACAGCCACCTCCGAGCATTTGATTGGATGCTTGAACAGCAAGCATTAGATGACTATAAATAAAGAGAAATTGCTTCCGATGAACATATGAGCATTTTCTAAATTAAAAGGTCTCTTGTATCGATAATACATAGCTCGTGATTCCCATGTATAACTGTTTCAATGATTCAATAAATTTTCTATCATAATAATTAATAACCTTCCGAGAATTAAATAGACAACTTGAATATTATTTGATTAATCGTTTCGATATTGGTTTTCCTATGATTTAAAATGTCAAAATAACAATCTTAAATAACAGAAAAAAAAATTGAAATGTATAAAAATCACTTTAAAAGGTAATATAGATTGCATTTTGTTAAAAAAAATATTATTAACAACTTCAATTGTATTAGAGTCATAACCATCACTTTCTCGGTGTTATTTCTGCCATCATCATCACTTTCTTCCTCCTCATCTTCAGAGTCTTTAACAACTTCAGTTGTATTAGAGTCATAACCAGCTTGTTCCTCACAAGATGAAGAATCCCCCTCATAAACATTCTCCCTTTCTTTGGCATCAACAATGGACCCAGTAGAAGGGGTACCGGTTGATTATTGCGTAGGTGGAGGAGGTGGTAATGGATTTGAGGGAGGTGAAGATGGTGGTGGAGGATTCGAGGGAGGTGGAGGAGGAGGTGGTTGAACAAAAATTAAAGTATTAGGGGGTAACACAACCTGTTTAATTTTAGCAACGCCAGCTTCAAGATGTGCCAATCAATACGCAAAGAGTTGAGACAATCCAATCAGTGTATTAAGTGTTATAAGGATCTAGTTGTTAAGGTTTTGATTAGGTTATACAAGAGGTAGAGAATTTTGATAAAAGGGTGTAGCTGAATCAAGGGAACCAACATCAATATTCAAACCTTCAGCTTGTTCAAAATCAAGAGATGGATAACTACCCTATGCACCATAGGAGGATGATGAAGACTTGAAGTATATATGATTGTTGAGACATGGTGGAGACACATGTGATGTAGCTTGAAAAGGACGCACTGCAATAATAGGAGAGTCAGATGACGATAAAGATTCGGTAGCATACCTAGTAATATCAGTGTTAGAGTCTTCATAATTGTCATTTGCCTGAGTTTCTTCCTCGGTTTCTTCTTCATCTTTATTATTTTCAGCATCATCATCATGGTCTTCACTTTTAGGCTCAGTTAGTTCTTTATCTGACATTTCATTAACAGGGTCCACAATTGGGTTATGAACTCTTGGGTCAGCAGTGTATGGTTGATCAATCCACTTAGCCATCCACCAAGTAATAATTGGATGTAGTGGCCTGATTCCAGAAATCGGATGAAAACTTCAAGACCCTTGTTCTTGAATTTTGAAGAGATGACATACCATCCGCAAATGTTGGTTGCCTTGATCACAATTATAGTGTTTGGTGGTAGTTGAAGCTTTTTGAACATTACCAATCAAAGTGTAGGTGTAGAGAGTCGTGGGAGATCTTGAGGATTAGTGTTTAGCTATGGGGGTTTTGGGAATTTTTCCAAGGAAATGGTTTGAAACAATAATCATTTGAAGAGAAGATGAATCAATATATAAGAGGGAATTGTAATCGATTTGAAGATGGTTGGCGTATGATGATGAGCGTGTCAAAAAAAGTATTCAGATTTCTCGTTACCCCTAAAGTTAATCATAATGTTCCTTATTTGATTTAAAAATAACCTCTGAGGTCTCTTTGGCAAGTCAACATTGATATTTGTGATGGTATATGTGATGAATCAGCAGGTGAATTTGCAGCGGAAATTGCTAATGAATCATTAGTTAGAAATCACGCTTTTGAACATTTTTTTAGTAGGAAAGGATTGGTGGTAACATATCCAATCTATGGTGATAATAGAGAGGGCCAGGGACACTAAGTGCATGATTTGTCTCACTTACATATGGTTTAATAAGAAGATTACAGATGACTACGACAGAGATTGTTGATGTCATAACCCAGTCTATAGTAACAATAGAGAAGGATCAAGGAAATCAAGTGCAAGGTGTATCATATGCTGACTATAGTGTCTATAGACAGGCACATACAACTCTTTGTCTTAGAGGACCAGACAAGTATCTCTTACGCTGTAGAAATTGCTATCAGTGTAAGCCACAAGGATATGCACATGGATCCAACAAAACATTTAGACTTTGTACATATAACAAGCATGCTTCCAGGGAGAGAGGTTTGTAATATAGTAGAGAATCAAAAGTAACACACTCATGTCTTTGTAGGGTTTTTCTTTACTTTTGGGATACTTAGAGAGATTTAGTCACATTCGACAAAATGCTTCCACTTAACTAATGTGATGAGATACTTAGAGAGATTTAGTCACATTCGACAAAGTGCTTCCTCGAACAAAAATGGATAAAGAAGTTATAGTCAAAATCTTGTAAGATTACCATCAAATTGTAATATTTGCGTAACAAATCATGTGAAAGATATTCTACCAGAGGAATTAAGTAAATAATGATGTGATGTTCCTGTAACATTCTTTTTCAGGAAAAATAAATGTTGTCTCGAAAATACAAATTCGATTCAACTTTTCTTTTTCTATAAAAGGATGAATCATTCATCTTCATTTGCACATCATTTTTGACAGAATTTTTCACTGGCAAAGATGGTATTTCGGATTGGAGATAAGGTAGAGGTGATGATGTGTGAGCAAGGGTACAAAGGTTCTTATTATCCAGGAATGGTGATAAGGGTCAAGGAAGAGAGATATGTGATAACTTTTGACAATAATATCAACAAAAATAGAGTGAATTTTGCAATATGAGGCACAACTTGATCAGCTTAAGCCATTCCCTTCAGAAATACTTGTCAACTTGAGGGAAGGAGATGTAGTTGATATGAGATACAACAATAGATGGTGGTTAGAAGACTTGTATAGAAGAAAGAAAACATATGCCTAGTCCATTACGATGCAAGAAACTAGTTTGGGGTTTTTGATGAGAGGGATGTTCGAGTGCATCAAGAGTGGATCAATGTTCCTTAAGGCCATTGGAAGTAACTGAAATAATCTTTGTAATATGCAGAAAATTATGAATGTAAAATTTGTTTTGGAGATTTATATAAACATTTTATTTTAGAAATTCCAAGAGAGACGAGAAAAATGATAAAAACATGAAAAGTAGTCTTTAAGAAATCACACAAAGTACGATACATTGTAACTTTAAAAGAAAAAAACCATACAACATTTAGCGAATGCCAGGTTCATTAGTGATTCACTTAAAATATGTTTATAAAAAAATATCAGAGAGATGACACAAATAAGAGAGATCCACAACTCAATCTGTCCCTCCAGTATCCATCAATGTCGTTATATTGTCTTATTGGGTGATTGTAGGGCCATCTTCCTTAACATAATCCTTCAAGGGAAACTTGAATCCTTTCATATGCCTAGAAAGTCTATTGTACAAAAATTTAATATGCTTTTGATCGTACATTACTTATGAACAATTAGAACACTTTATGAACCCATTTTGCAATGCTTTAAGATTTTGCAGTGTTAAATATTTCATAACACTTAGTAAGGAGATTGTTAAGAGTGTTATCCCTTTTGATCCATTTTTCATTTCGAATCAGGATATTATCAACCCTTTTTGAACCTTCCAGAAAAGTACATTTAACCACTTTATGAGAAGGGTCACCATATCTATAGCACTTTCTAATTCCAAATTTATTTTTCTTCTCAACAAAAAACTTATGAGATTTGCTTTTCCAAGTGTTTGGAACACATTCTTTTTCTTGAAAAACTTTTTGTTTTATTCTAGAGACACGTGAATTTCTATCAGTTGTACAAGATGAGTCATACGCGTTGAGCTAGATTCGGCGTCATAATCATTGGTCGTACATTCATGAAATTCAAGAAAAGCATCATTAACAGCATGGATTTCACCATTTGAGATATGAAACTTTATCAAAATGGGAATGTTGGTTTTAACATACTCACAACCAGTAGGTTAGAGTAGGTTAGACAGAGGGATCAGTTGTAGTTAATTGGGTGATACAAGTAGTGAGACCATCAGTGTTTGTTACATAATGTTTGTCTATTTGGTCTTGATAATTTATAAATTCACTACTAACAAAGTTAGTCTTATATTCATTTAATAAGCTTATTAGTAGTCGGAAAACAAGGTTCGATTTCAATTTGTTCAAAAGTTTGAACATCATCTTCAATTTTGTCATCGATTATGGAATTTGATCATTTACAATTTTGGTGGTCTTGACATGAGAATGAGCGTAATTATTAATTATTTTTTGATAGTTTTCAGAGATCTTTTGAGCAGTGTCTTTAATACTGATGAATTCATGATTTGTAAGTAATACTTGACGGAATTTAGAGCTCCTCAGTGAGAGACACTTCTCAGTGATAAGCAACGTGTTTAAATATTTAATTTTGTTTTAAGGTGTTTAAAGATTTAATTTTGTTTTAAGTTCCACTTCTCCTGATTGTATTTAGAGAGGTCAAGATGTAAATATTTAAACATTATTATCTTTTAATTATTAGAGTAAATCACAATGTGTTTAACCTGATACACGGATACGGAGTCCCAATTCTAATCCATAGAATCTCTAGCGGCATTAGACATGTCAGCTTCGAAAGTGTTGGTGCTGCTGTTGGATGACAGATCCATGATTGTCATTAGGCATTTATCCTTTCCCTTGACATCTTCATCAGAATACTCTTCTTCTTCAACAAATTCCTTCTTTTCAGCCAAAAGAACTTTAGAATCTAGGTTTTCTTTTTAAGAGCAACAACTAGTCTTTTGAACTTGAGCTTATACAACTCTTCTTTTGAGTCATTCTTCCTTAGCTTGCAATCTCTTTCAAAATGATTGGCACTTCCACAATTGAAACATTTTTCGGCATCTTTCTTCTCAGTGACAACGTTCTTGGAACTACCAGCGTCAAACTTTCTTGACACTGATGAACCAAAGTTAGATGTCGACGAAAACACGTACTCACAAGTATAAGAGGTCATGCAAGTAATACAATTGTAAAACCAGATATCGTACCCACATAGACTATCTATTTTAAAGGAAGATAAATCATGTAATTGTTGGTTGAAAATGATTTGTTTTGAATAAACTAATGAAAACTAACTTTTTAAAACTAAAATAAAATAAAATTATCA